GCATCAAATGAACAAATCCACAAGGGCAATGCTACATGGAAAATTCTTTTCCATATCGTAGCACAATCCATTAAGGCAGCGTCTGGGATCCTCTCGGACGTAGGTTCGAATCCTCATCACGGCCTCTTGTGGATTTGTTCATATTTACATATTTCTTGAACCCTTATTAAAAAGTTGTCTCCAAAATTATGTATCTGTAGACAGAGTATAAATATGGCTTAATGGGTTAAGCTTTACGTCAAGACTAAGTAAGCTTGGGGCTCATCTTTAATTTGCTTCTTTGGTGGAAAGGGAGGGGCAAAAAAAAAAACCATTGAAAAATCTCTCACGGTGCAAGGAAAGAGCCGTTATCTCTGTCTTGCTCTTGCAAGAAATTGCAAATCTCATACATTCTGACTTCAGTTGCAGTTTTAGTAATACATTTTAACAATGTTGACACCAATCAAGAAGGTCTGGAGGGCTTATATGTGTGAATGAGCTAACTAAGCATTTTCCAACCAATTAGAAAATTGATTTCAGTAACACGACGATGGACGCCTCAGAATCTCACACGAAACACATTAGCTCTGTATTCTGTACCAGGTTATGTAACATTGGTACATATTCTGTACCATGTTATGTAACATTGTGTTTATGTATTCTGTACCAAGCTCTGTACCAGGTTCTGTACCAGGCTCTGTAACGTTGTCCCGAAACGCTATGTGTACTATTAGCTTTGGAAACAAAGTACCATTTAACCACCAACGTGGATACGTTCACCACCTTCTGTACCTTTTTGTATTCAAATCAACTGTGTTCATGATGCCTGTACCACGCTTCAGTAATCTGTACCGTGCTCTGCACCATTGTGTGTTTCTATAGTGTGTACCGCACTACACAATGCACTCCAGCACATGTCATCATATACTCTCAAAACGGCAAACACACTATAGCCTTTAAAATTAGTGTTATAAGCCAAGATGCAGCCTCTACCATAGTTACCCTTCAATACTATATTACCGTTTTCAATAAAGAACCCAATCAAAGAAAACGAAAATGTATTATACAAGCCCAAAAGATTACTTTGACTTCTATTACTTCTTAGTCCCTTCTACTGAAGTCCCTTCAACACTGTTGATAAATATGGTCATAACCGCAGCTAACTGACCAACATGAAAGTATGTTGTAGATCCGAAAAACGTTTAAAACAAAAGTAAAATATCTGTATTATATTTAACTTACTGAAGTAAAATTCAATACAATCTAAGGAATATTCTGCAGACAAAATATTCACGCGGTTTATTATTAATTACTCAACAATGCAAGTGGAGGGTGAAGACCAATTAAGGTGTTTAGGGAGAGTTACACAAGACCGACGCCGCCAGCCAGTAATGGCGTCGGTCCCTGGGAAGACCAACGCACACAAGGGACGCCTCACCTCCGGAGTCTTCTTCCGGTGGCGTCCTGGCCTGAAGACGGACGATTGACGAGGCCGGCTGTAGCTGGCGAGGATCAAGGAGACACGAGATCATTCCTGGACTTCAGGAATTGATGAGTAGAAGGGAATGGAGGCGTCGGGGTGTGGACGGCTTGGCGCCCGCGCCCGCACTGACACTATGGGCGCCAAATCTCCCGCCCGCACCAATTTTAAACAGGCCTAACTTCACAACTATAATAATAAATAAATAAATAAATAAATAAATAAATATATGTTTATTCAGGTAAAAGTACATATATACAAGATGAGTTATAAACATAATGTTGAATATCTAGATAGAGCAAGTTCATATTATGCCTAAAGTCACTAAATTCAAATTCAAATTCAAATGTTTATTCAGGTAAAGTACATACATACAAGAGGTTATACAAAAATTTATAGATTTATAGATAGAGCTAGTACATACAATGCCTCAAACCACTAATACACACAGCGTTTAGGGCAAGAATAATAATAATTGTGCAGCCTCACAAGACGCTGATTAACTGCCAGGAACCTAATTACTCCTACTGTACCTAATGCTAGGTGAACAGAGGCATTAGGTGAAGGGAAACGTGCCTAACCATTTCAGCCCCGCCTGGGATTCCCGGTTATGAGTCGAGAACGAACACAATTATGCAACCAAGATCTTAAATATTCTACAAATTACGAAGATATTCTGCATTTAAACAAAATAAAACGAGATTTTTAATTTATGACTAGCACCTCGGTATCCGTGTAATCAGAGAAATTAAGGTATAAATAAACTACAGTAATTGTAAAGTTAAATTATAATAGTAAATGCTAAAATAATGCTCGTTTTCTTTGATAATCTCAGGTCGCAGACTTAACCAATTTTATTTTCAAAATGATGAACTGCCAGAATTATTAGTCTACGGCTGTCTTATAGCAATGGCAATAGGGGGTACAAGTGCTGTATTAGTTGACTCTTCAGAGGTTGCATGGCGTTTCACCTTTCCTTTTATGACGTCTTCAACATCATAAAAGAAGCCATTGTTGACTAGGACCTGTCTTACTCTACAGTTCTTCGTCGACTTGCTTCCAACCAGAGCTGTGACTGAGAGTCCGGTCGACGCTTTACCCTACCCCTGTAGGGTAAGGCAGGTCCTGGTCAACAATGGCTTCTGTAACGGTTATGTTGAAGACGTCATAAAAGGAAAGGAGAAACGCCATGCAACCTCTGAAGAGTCATCTAACACAGCACTTGTACCCCCAATTAGACTGTTTTACTGTAACTTCTTTTCGACGGCTCATAAAACGGAGGAAAGTGTCCTGAAAGATATTAATAGGAACGTTATCTCTACAGACAAAAATCAGAAGATACAATTGACAATTTACTTCAAAAACAAGAAAACGGCCAAACTACTCATGAAAAACTCCCCAGACACCAAACAGAACGCCCTGAAAGAAACCAACGTCATCTATGCCTTCACATGCCCACTTGGGGACTGTCAGCCCCAAAGATCTCAGTATATAGGCAAGACAACAACGTCTCTTTCCAATTAACACATAACTATATTCTACCCACTTCAAGACCCCGAACCAACATAGAAGCAGCAAGAGAAAATATGGGCCAATAGGCCTTCTGTAGTTATTTTCATTTTTATGTTCTCATATGCAATTCATACCCATTGATTCGTGTCACCTCACCCAAAAATATTTGTGTCATATCACCTCACCCAAAACGAATATAAGCATGAAATAATATGTGTAAACCTGTCTTTGAAAATGTGACAGGTCCTTGCGAAACGCTTTTAGGCGTCACATCATAAATAAAAAATGATAAAATGAACTTTGGAGAGTTAATTTTTCAATTACCTCCGACAGTGACGAGAAACGTAAGAAATATTGAGAAGATTCGTGTTAGAATCATTAATCTTACCCTTTCGGTCATGTTCAACAATAACATTATATATATATATATATATATATATATATATATATATATATATATATATATATATATATATATATATATATATATATATATATATGTTTTATATCACAAGTGCAAATACAAATACAAATGTAAACAAATGCAAAAATACAAGTTTGTTTCGCGAAATTCAGAGGCGAGTGTATGTTTGTTCCCCTGTTGTTATATGACGTGATAACTTAACACATCGCTGTGTTGCCCTTCGATATATATAACATATTCTCCCCGTCCTCTATTGCTCCCCTATCCTCATTTACTCGTGTTGTATACAGATCTATCTTTATCCTATTCTACCTCTTCCCTCCCCCTTCTTTGTTACACTATCCCACCTTTTTCCTTTTCTTAGTTTTTTCCCTATTCCACCACTTTACGACCACATTTGTTTTCTATCCTTTTCTTCTCCTTTCCTTTCGTATTTGTACTTATCTCACCGCCCGTAGCCTCGCCTTCTCAATCTGCCTCTCGTATTCTGCATATTCTCTCATCATATCCCGCACTTACCTATCTTTTTTTATTTGTTATACAAGTGGGTCCAGGAACAGACAACATCTTTCTCTATTCCCACTAACACCTTCCCTTTATATTTACCTTCCCCTTGTTTTCTTCCTTAATCCATCTTCTTCCTCCTCTATTTCACCCTTTCTTTCCCTAGAACCGCCCCCCCTCCATCTCCCATATCCCAATTATTCTATCCTTCATCCTTATCCCCCTTACACCTATCCACCTCCCCCCCACCTCGATGGACTCAGAGGGGAACTATAAGAATTCTGAACAAATCCACAAGGGCCGTGACGAGGGCTCGAACCTACGTCCGAGAGGATCTGATGTATTCTGATGTAATTTTCGGAGCGGGGCGGCGACGGCGGCGGATTTAAAAATACACACGGCAAGATTTCCTCCAAGTAACCAGGCATCATTTATCCCTCGCTTACTCTCCCTCCCTCTCCCACAAGGCAAAGAACACCGTGTCTCTGAAATAATAATAATAATAATACAAAAATAAAGATGGCCTCCGACGGGAGGACAGGTGTGTGTTTACATAGAAAATAATGTTTTCAAAGCGCCTTTTCGCTACGCTAAAACTTTTTTTTTAAAGAGGTGTTTTTTTGGGGGGAATGGGTTTAAATCTGTTGGAAATGCTAGGTTATGGTGTTTTTGTCACACGTGGGTATTATAAAGACTTAGGCACATCTTTCACTGATGGTAAAACCTTTTTTTTTAAGTTTATGAAAAGCTGGAGGAAATACAAGGGAGAGAGAGATCCCCGTGTTGGCATCACCCAAGATGTTTGCTCAGAGTTGCCACAGTTTCCAGCTTTTCTATTCCTAATCATTTCATTCAAATAAACACATTAACACAAATTATTACCACCATTGCTAATACAATTGTATTCAAGTCTTAATTATTTCAAATAGATCACTACTGTATCATAATGAAGATACAGAAGGTGAGCTAAATCTGGGCGTTTCAGCTTGAAAAAAAATTAAAAAATCCGAAGCACGGACAATATCCTCTCTGAACGAAACGCAATGAAAAAGGAGAGTAGAGAATGTCCTGAGATTTCTGACTGGCAGTGTACGTTGAGGGTCGGTGGAGGGAGGACGCGGCGGCTGGCGGCACCGGCACCCACGCTAATGGTGTGTGAGTGTGTGTGTGCTCGTGCTGGAGTGTGTTCCCTAGAGTGCGTTGACCTGTGCGCGCTGACGAACCACGCGAGTGTGTGTGTGTGTTGTTGATCTGTGGTGATCTCCCCAGTGTTATGACGGCCTGACCCCTCACAGTGGAATTTATATTTATAATTTTAAAAGTGTTAGAAACTAGTGTCAAAGTTTCTGTGGAAAAGTTGGCCGTGTTAATGACTATTAAGACAATCAAGAACAGCTTCACGGTAAGTGTGTTATATCACCTCTATGTCAACATGTTCTTAAGTTATCTACATTTGAAACTTGTGTATGGAGTCAGCCTCCACCACATCACTGCCTAATGCATTCCATTTACTAACTACTCTTGACACTAAAAAAAGTTCTTTCTAACGTCCCTGTGGCTCATTTGGGTACTCAGTTTCCACCTGTGTCCCCTTGTTCGCGTCCCACCAGTGTTAAACAGTTTATCTTTATCTACCCTGTCAATTCCCCTGAGAATTTTGTAGGTAGTGATCATGTGTCCCCTTACTCTTGTGTGTGTGTGTGGGGGGGGTTGTTACTGCCAGTTTGTTGCCATGTGTGTGTGTGTGTGGGTCAGTGCCAGCGTGTTGCCATGTGTGTGCTAGTGTGTGGGGTCATTGCCACCTCTCACTCACCCACTGCCTTGGGTGAGTGAGCTCCCAAGGTTCTCGTCTGGTGTGGCAGACTAATCAAGTCGTGTTTGTGGGTGCGTGAGACGTCTTGGGGCCTTGGTGAGTGAGTGAGTGAGACATCGTGATGAGTGAGAATTGTCTGGATGAGTGCGTGAGACATCTTGAGGTCTCGGTGAGTAGGTGAGACGTCTCGAGGCCTTGATGAGTGCGTGGGACAGCCCGAAAGCGTGATGAGTGCCTGAAATGTCTTGCGATCTCAATGAGTGAGTGGGACGTCTGGAGTCCTTGATGATGAGTGCGTGGAACGCCCCCCCCCCCCCTCTCCCCCGACATGCCGAGATGTACAAAGCAGACACAACACAGCAGTTGGTTGACTGCTTGTTGCTGCGCCACCCACAGTGTGTCGATGGTCACTTTTAAGAGACTAAAGTTGTATTGGTGTGTGTGTAGGGCAGGAGAGAGAGGGGGAAAGAGCTGCTGGGAACCTCGCTCGTATGAGCCATGAACTGCCGCAGTTCCTTCTCTCCCTCGCCTCTCCTCCACCAGCGCTGTGCTACACCAGGGGTGGAGCTGAGCACTCGCCACTGCTCCTCGCTTCCACGTGATCGGTTTAGAAAACACAAAGAAGCGACCGAAACATTAAGTCACACACACACCATCAAGTGTATCTACCTCTTGAGGGGTGAGCCTCGGTCAGCACCATCTCAACTTGCATCTCCTCGCCCTTCTTATACCCTTTACACTCATATTTGCAGCCTACTAATACACTACACCAGATAAACTGATTTAGAAATAAAAAAAACTTGGAAATCATCACCATGGGATAGATTGGACCTGGGTTGTGTCTTCTGCTATTGGCTGGCCAAATCTTTTGGTGAATTTGTTTGGCTGACTAGTCACGATTTTTGTTATCATCATGATCGCGTTTATCAGATATTGCCATTAACAAGTCCCTGCGCGGTTAACCACCAGTCACATGTTAGCATTACATTTCGGCCGTGTTAGTTATCTACATAACCTAAGCGACTTATTTATATTGACGTGAAACTCAGGACGTACCAAAGGTATTGGAAAGAGGCGATGATTCTGGCAGACTAGCGGATCTCTGGCCACGTCGCGCTGAGGAAGGAGCCAAGGTTAGGCATCATGGTATCACTTTTGGGTATTTATTTTCCACCCGTTCCTGAAAATCTGCTTTGATGAGTTGCGAGATGGTGGTGATGGCTCTTGTTCCGTAGGGTAGAGTGTTGGGGTTAGTGGTGGAGTTGGTGGCGAGGCATTGTGGTGGGAGGCGATGGGGTGTGCAGGTGGGGGCGGCTCCGACACTGGGTGATACAGATCTCCCGTGTCACCCCGACTGTATGTGTCATTTTTCTCGGCGATCTTTTCTTGGGGGAGGAAGTGGGAAGCGAGTGTGTGGGTGTAGCGAGGTGTATGGGTGTAGCGGGATGCGCTGGTGTAATCTGGGGAACATATTATTAAGGACTTGCCCGAAACGCTACGCGTACTAGTGGCTGTACAAGAATGTAAGAACTCTTGTACTGTATATATAGTAAGTAAAATAAATAAAGGTATGTTGGTGAACTTGTAACAAAATATTTTTCTATTTTTTTTTCGTGCCGCAATGTTTCGTCAACACATTTACAGTATTTTTCTTTCAGTTTAATTAGTTTATTAAAAGAGCCCATTGGCATCATTCGGTCCAATAATGAGTTCAGGAACCACCGAGATGTTCCTGAACTGGACCCCTGTGTATTGAACTGTACCCTCCCCCCCCCCTGTATAAATAGATGGTAGAATAAATCAATAGTATTGCACAGCCTAGTATGCGTTTCACTTTGTTTCAAATCTATAAAAAATGGATAGAGTTGGTATATTACTGCCTTTGTTCACTCAGCATTATTTACTTGCCTATTTTTTATTTTTTATTTGTTTAGTTATATTGTTTAAAGGGAAATTAGTGCTAGGCTATTAGAAATGTTTCGAATAATCGAATTTTCTAGGTAACAAGTTATGTTGCTGTAGCCTAGCTAGGCTAGGTGTCTTGGTGTAGAATGGAGGTATCTTGTTGTAGTGGGTAGTTGTGTAGAGGTGTGAGTGTAATCAGTAGAGGTGTTGTGTAGAGTGGGGAGGTGTAATGTAATTAAGTTATACTTGCGGAGGAGGTTGAACTTCAACTCTGGTCCTGCCTCTCAATACTTATTCAACCTGTTTACCGGTTCCTTAGTCTATTGGGTTCCATCATATCAACATTTTCAACGGTGTATGTAATCTGCCTCCACCACTTCACATCTTAGGGCTCTACTACACCCGCTAACTACTCTGCTAGTGGATTATGTTTTTATAATGTCTTTCGGGTTCATTTTGGTACTTATTTTCCACCTGTGTCCCATGAAGCTCGTATGTGATGACCTTCATTGATTTTTCTCCATTATGGAGACGTTAAAGTTAGGCTAGTTCATGCTAGGCTAGACATCACCGTATTTATAGCTAGTTAGGCTAGATACGCTGATGTCACAGCCTATTCTAGTATTGATCTGACATATGTGTGATAAGACAACGTCTTGTGCATAGGTACTAACTTACTAGAGAAATAGTCTAACTTTATCTGGTGCCGACTTATCTGCGAGAGAGAGAGAGAGAGAGAGAGAGAGAGAGAGAGAGAGAGAGAGAGAGAGAGAGAGAGAGAGAGAGAGAGAGAAATTTAAAGAGGCTGCAGGGTGTTGGCGTGTTGGGTGGGGGAGAGAAGGTATTCCTGGCCAGAGAATCGATCACTCTCTCCTTCCCTGATCAGCTCAGTGGAGTTCATAATTGTGTTTGCTACTTGTTGCTAGCTGGAGCGAGACACTAGCAGCGCTCACGTTCCCGCCCTCATTACCGACCCTCACTGAAATGCAAAGGTACTTTATATACTATTGCTGATAATATTTTTACCGAGTGTCATAGAGACAAAAAATGAGAATAATGTAATGGAACTAATCTACTACTGTTTTTTTACAATTAGTAATGATCACTATAATTATTAGTGAGACACGAGGCTACTTGATGTGGGGTGGCTGTAGGAGCGGTGGAGAGGACGGGCTGGTAGGGGGAGTGGGACAGGTGGGACAGAGGGGAGTGGAACAGGTGTGTGTGTGTGTGTGTGGGGACCGACACACCTGTCAGAACGTATGACCCGCTTATATCTACACAGCTGCTATAGGTGCCATTCTCGCACGTGACCACACACACACCCTGCCACTACACATGACCACACACACACACACCTGCTTCTATAGACGTGACTTATCATCCCAGTTCCTTTCAATCTTAGTGGGAAATAAAACGAATTGTCAGCTCTGAGATGTCTCAGTGTTCTTCTCCTGCATGTGTGTGTGTGTAAGTGTTGAAGACGGGAAGACAGGAGTACCTGCCAGAGAGAGCGTCTGGGCCTCCTACTCCTGCAGGTGCTGGGAACGGCAGAGTGTAATTTGGTGTTAGTTGGCTATTGATAGTTGACTTGTTTGATGTATAATGTCTCGTCAATGTCTTAAGTCTTCAAGGGTTCGAAGAGTGTAGCCATCTTACACTCTGACATCTTCCAGAACACCTGAATGTATCTGAGGGCTACTAACACTTGTGGCCTCGGCGAGGACAGGAAGCCGGCGGCTTGTCAAAGGTCCCCCCCCATTTGCTCTAATGACGAAGATGAGGAAGCATACATCATGGAAATATTCCGAGTGAGGTAAGCCCCAATGGGCCTGTTCGTCCATAAATGAGGTGCTTCACCTGCATGTAATAGATCCAGCCACATAAAAACTTGTAACCATTCAAACTTTGCTCTGATAATGTTGACAAGTATCAACGGAACGCTTCGCTTGACATAAAGTCACAATAAAGTTGCTAAATTAACTTTGGAGTTAATTAATGTAGTAGTAGTAGTCTTTTTCTTTCATGGTGGTAGCCTTTTATCTCTCTCTCTCTCTCTCTCTCTCTCTCTCTCTCTCTCTCTCTCTCTCTCTCTCTCTCTCTCTCTCTCTCTCTCTCTCTCTCTCTCTCTCTCTCTCTCTCCCCCTCCATTTTTGACCCGACCCGCCACTAAAGAGGATCCCAAAAATCTTAGGGAATTAAGGTTAATCTCTTGTTTAATGGGCGACATCTCTTCGCCAACAACCGTTTGAGGTGCGCTTCTGTACTCACCTAGATCTACTCACCCAAGGTGTACTCACCTAGATCTACTCACCCAAGGTGTACTCACCTAGATCTACTCACCCAAGGTGTACTCACCTAGATCTACTCACCCAAGGTGTACTCACCTAGATCTACTCACCCAAGGTGTACTCACCTAGATCTACTAGGTGAGTAGATGGCCAGTTAGTGTGGCCAGCCTTCACTAGTGATTGTCTGGCCTGTGTAGCCACTTGGGCTGGACGATAGAGTGACGGTCTCGCTTTATGCAGGTCAGCGTTCAATCCCCCGACCGTCCAAGTGGTTGGGCACCATTCCTTCTCCCCCCCCCCCCCCGTCCCATCCCAAATCCTCATCCTGACCCTTTCCCAGTGCTGTATAATCGTAATAGCTTGGCGATATCGCCTGATAATTCCCTCCCCGCC